CGTCCTCGCAACATGGCGAAGAATCACGACCAGAGCCCTATACACCTTAGGCGATGCTCAAGAAAACTTAAGTTTTCGGCCAGAGTCTCGATTATTCTTCATGTTTCAACTTCATTCCCAAGATTTTGATAGAAATTCTGGGTTTTTATTCAATTCTGAGACTATGAATTTCTTAACCCATGATTTCTAAAGCATTTCGCAGGGTGTAGACCCCGTCTTCCTGCGGCCGCGTTCTGGCCGGTTCGGCCGCTTCGCAGTCGGGTCCGGACCGGTTGGCGCCGGCTGCTGCGCCGCTGCGCCCTCCGAGCCCCGAGCTCCGACGCAGCGAGAGGACCCTCACACCGCGAAGGAGTCACGGCCAGAGCCCTCCGGGGCCCCGCCCTCCTGCGGCCTGCTGCGCGCCAGAGGTCGGTCCGTGCGGGGGCGGGGCTCCCAGAGGACCGGGCGCAGAAGCGCCTGGCGCAGAGGGTCGGGGGCGGAAAAGAGGGGGGTGATGACTAGGGGGGGGTGGATATCATGGCGGGGGCCATGATTTTTCCCCAGATTTCAGGGCGCCTCTTCTTATTTCATTACGTCCCTGGCCCCCCCGCTGGGCCGCGCACATGCCGCCGGTCATGATTTGCACCCCCCCCTCTTGGACACCCCCCTCTTGGCCGCTCCCGAGAGGGGTACTGCAGCGCCAGAGTCTCAGGGTAGGCTGCCTTCGGCCAGTCGATTGCGGCCTATTCTTCACGGCGCCTGGCCCCTGTCAGCCAACAGGGTGTGCGACCGACGAAGATGTGTGACCGAAGACGTGCCGAAATTGTGACCGAAAACGCAGCATGATCGACGCCGTGACCGAAGTTGGAGTCTCGGATTCTTTTCGAACCCGACATTTCGGTCACATTCTGGCTGGGTGGGCAAAGTAGGCGCCGGTTTCGGTCACCCTCGCGCAGATGTTCGGGCACAGTTTTGGCACTACACCCTCGTGATAGTCGGCGGCGAGCGAGGGGGGGAAGTGAGAAGGCCTTCTCGGAAGGCGGCGGGACTTCTCAGAAGCCCTCGCGCCTTCTGAGAGGTTTTTTCGTGTCTTCGGGGAAGGCTTGGACTTCTCAGAAGGCCCGGGGAATTCCGAGCCTTCCGAGAAGGCCCGCCCCTTCTCGCTTCCCCCCCCCTCGCTCGCCGCCCGGATAGAGACACGGCTGCGTGACGGTTTGGCCTCGCTGTCGCTTCGGCTTTCGGTCTGCGGCTCTGGGCCGCCGCCGCGGGCGTCCGTGCCTCGCACCCCCCCCCCCTCCCCCTCGGGCCCCTCCCCCTCCCCCTCGGGGGGCGAGGCTCCAGGGCCGCCGCGGCCCGCGGCGACGACGAGAGCGGCGGCGCGGCCGCCGCGCCCGCCGGCGCGGAGGGCGCTCGCCGCCCTCGCCGCCCGCGCGCGCCACCGCCATCGGGGGGCAGCGTCGGGTGGGGCGGGGGGGGGGGGGGGGTGGGGGGGGGGGGCGGCGGGAGGTTCTTTTGGCGTTTTCGCGTGTTCTCGGAGGTTTCCGCCCTTCGGGGTGCGCTTCAGCGGCTGCGCCTCCGCCGAGGTCGTTCGGGGGCTGGCCATCTCGTCCCGAAGGGCCGCCGGAGATCCGAGTTATGACCAGAAGGCTGGACGACGTGGGTCATTGGGGGGGGCTGCCCTCGAGCAGTGGCGAAGCGTCCTGGCTCGCCTCGAGGCCCACCAAAGAACGTTCGAAGAACCTTCTGTGGCCTGCACGACATGTTCTTAGCACATCTCTGGCTGAGACTGCCTAGGAACCTTGCTTTCGTTCTTCGAACACTTGTGGGTTTTGAGAACATCTCGTGGTAGGCTATAGGAATGCTGGGACGGTCGGTGCCTGCTTAATGCCTTCCCAGACCGCCACGGACCCCTGTGCGCAAAGGCTCCAAGGTGGCCGCAGAAGGCGGCGGCGGCGACGACGGCGGCGGCGCCGCGGGCGCCACGGGCGCCGCTGCCCGCGAGCGCGAGAGGCGCGGGGCGCCTTCGCGGCGCCTTGCCTTCGGAGGCTTTCATTGTCGGAGGCCTAGAGGTTGACATCAACACCACTATCGGCGGTGTGCCTTCACTGGGGACGGATGCTTCCGATCTCGGTGATCGTGGTAATACTCGGGCTCTGGAAGTGGCGGAATGATTATCACCAACGCCATAATCCAGGATCATTTTACCCCTGTGGAGGCAGCCCCCTGTGTTGGTGTTGGTGCCCATTTCCAGGCCTCCAACTTTTAGGAAGAAGAACCTGCACACACCTCAACTTTCGGAGCTCCGCGCAAACGTCTTGGATCTACGCTGGGCCCCCCTGGCGGCGCCTCACGCTAGGATCTCTGGCCCCCCCCCCGAGGGAGGAGCAAGAGGGGAAGAGAAAGAGGACCTGGGCACTGGATAAGAAAGAGGGACACAGGGAGGGAGGACGACGAGGGGAGGAGGGAGGACAGTTCCCCAAATAGTGCCTGCATGTTTTTCGGTCTGGCGGCTATGTTGTCGCCGTAGCCGCCCCGTCGCCGCCTCGTCGCCGCCCGTCGTCTGGGTCTGATTGCCGGTCTGGCGGCTATGTTGTCGCCATCGCCCCGTCGCCGCCTAACTAGCGCAGAGTAGATTGCACCGCATATGTTTCACCACATATGCTGCACCGGCTTCACTTATCGCACCACATCGTTTGCACCACATCTATTACACAACATCGAGAACTCAACATATATTGCACAACATAGAATGCACGAATTAATTGTACCGCGCGTAGTGCATCACGTAGACTGCACCCATATGGCACCACATAGACAGCACAACATACACTGCACCACATAGAGGGCACCACATCTATTGCACAGCATCGAATTCATAGAATATATTGCACAACATAGACTACACCACATATATGGTACAACACATATTGCTTCACTCATATTGCACACTACGAGAAAGCACACCGTTTGGGGTCTACGCTGGCTAACACGAGTATCATGAGGATTAATTCGGAAGACGAGCGGAGGATCCCGAAGTCGTTGTCGTCGCCGTCATCGGAGTCATCGTCGGCGTCGTCGGCGTCGGCGTCGGCGTCGGCGTCGGCGTCGGCGTCGGCGTCGGCGTCGGCGTCGGCGTCGGCGTCGGCGTCGGCGTCGTCGGCGTCGGCGTCGGCGTCGGCGTTGGCGTCGGCGTCGGCGTCGGCGTCGGCGTCGGCGTCGGCGTCGTCGTCGGCGCCGTCGTCGGCGTCGGCGTCGGCGTCGTCGGCGTCGGCGTCGGCGTCGGCGTCGGCGTCCGCGTCGGCGTCGGCGTCGGCGTCGTCGTCGTCGTCGTCGTCGTCGTCGTCGTCGTCGGCGTCGTCGTGGGCGTCGGTGTCGGCGTCGGCGTCTTCGTCGTCGTCGTCGTCGTCGTCGTCGTCGTCGGCGGCGGCGGCGGCGGCGGCGGCGGCGGCGTCGGCGTCGGCGGCGTCGGCGTCGTTGGCGGCGGCGTCGTCGTCGGCGTCGTCGGCGGCCTGCCCTCCCAGACCGCTGCGGCCCCCGTGCGCGCCAAGGCGCCAAGGCCGCGGACCGCGGCGGCGGCGACGGCGGCGGCGCTGCGGGCGCCGCGCCGCCGAGCGCCAGAGGCGCGGGGCGTCTTCGCTGCGCCCCTCGGAGGGCCCTTCGGCCCTTCGGCGGGCCCTTTGGAGGGCCCTTCGGAGGGCCTTGTCGGCGGGCCCTTCGGAGGGCCTTCGGAGTGCCTTGTCGGAGGGCCCTTCGGCGGGCCCTTCGGAGGGCCCTTTGGAGGGCCCTTCGGAGGGCCCTTCGGAGGGCCTTCGGAGGGCCTTGTGGGAGGGCCACTGTCGGAGGGCCTTCGAGATCCCGGCGCGCGCCGGGCGTGTTCGCCCCGCGTCGGTCTGTGGGGGCCTCGCAAATCGGTCGGCCCCGACTGCTGCCGCGGGGCGCGAATCTGTTTCTTTTGACAAGGCGACGGAGGAGTAGGAAAAGGAGGAGGAGGAGAAGGAGGAGGAGGAGGAGCAGGAGGAGGAGGAGGAGGAGGAGAGGAGGAGAGGAGGGGCAGTGGAGGAGGCGGAGGAGGCGGAGGAGGAGGAGGAGGAGGCGGAGGAGGAGGAGGAGGAGGAGTAGGCAGAGGAGGGAGAGGAGGAGAGGGGCGAGGAGGAGGAGGAGGAGGAGGAGGAGGAGGAGGGAGGAGGACGAGGAGGAGGCGGAGGAGGAGGAGGCGGAGGAGGAGGAGGAGCCGGAGAGGAGGAGCAGGAGGAGAGGCAGAGAAGGCAGAGAGAGGAGGAGGAGGAGGAGGAGAGGAGGAGGAGGAGGAGGAGGCGGAGGAGGAGGATGAGGATGAGGAGGAGGACTTTTCCTGGCCTGGCCAGGGGCAGTGGACACGTACGGATCTCGTCGCCCGATCTCGACGCAGCCTGGCCATCGAAGCTGCCTCAACTCGTGGCCTTGCAGAGCGGCGCGTGACCCCACGGGGAGCTCCACCGAAGGCCCCAGCGGCCGGGGGTCTGGGGCTCTGGCCGTGATTTTTCTCGCGACGCCGCAGTTTCTCGCATCGTCGGACCTCAGGGTTCGGAGGGCCTCCAGAGACCTGCGGGGTCCTCCTCCGCCTCCTCCTCCTTCGCCTCCTCCGCCTCCTCCGCCTCCGCCTCCTCCTCCTCCTCCTCCTCCTCCTCCTCCTCCTCCTCCTCCTCCTCCTCCTCCCCTCCGTAGCCGTTTTGGCTTAAGATGATGTGTTTCCCGTGGATCGGAGTGGAGACCTCTGATCCGAGGCGGCCAAGGCAGTTCTGCCTGGCAGTCTCTCTCGGCCTTATCTGCGGGACTTGGGCCCCCGCCACCCAGTCTTTGTCGTGTGCGCGCGCCTGCCAATGCAAGATGGCACGGAAGGAGCTGGCAACACCAGAAGCAATAATAGTAATAACAACAATAGTAATATTACTAAGACGAAGACTAATACTATTCATGCTCATCGTAATAATCTGAAGCTGCGCCGCGGTGGCGGGGCTGCAAGTCCTGGCGACCCTCCTGAGGCTGCTGCCCCTCGGGATGACGATCGGTCGCGGTCCAGCCGTGCCGTCAGCGATGACGAAGATGACATGGATGGTGCAGACTGGGACGTTCATATCAAATGGCCCCATTCACGGAGAATTGCAGGCTCTCCAGACTGAGATCACCGAGCTTGCTTCAGCATCGGCAAGAGACGCAGCAGGCAAGGCAGTCGATCCAGTCATGGCGGCCATCAAGTCGCTGGAAAATGCAGTCAAGTCGGTCCCTGTCACGTGCACGGCGCAGGTCGAAGCCTATCTCAAGTCGTAGTTTGATTATATGGAACGACGCATGCATAAGCAGACGGACGCCCTTCAAGCCCAGGTGCGAGACATCGACACTCGTACATAATTTTTGGCAGCTGGTATGGACCAAATGCGCCAGGCCATGGACGAGATGCGTCGGGAGCTTGCTCTTGCCAGCCTTGCTCCCCTGCCATCCAAGCCAACGGCGGGGTTTTAACGTGAAGTGGACGGAACCATTCTCAAGGTTGTGGCGCCGACTTTGGTCAAACAGGAAGATGTGGTAACGTCAGTTGAGAAGTGGTTGCACGGCGCTAAGCTGGACAATGACGCGGTGGCCGGAGATGCTCAAGATAAACTGTTCATGATTCAATTCAATGGAGCTGTTGGTATTGCTGGGGAAAAAGGTGGTCCAAGCTCTTGCAGCTCTCCGCCTTCCTGGGAAGGGGCAGTGGATGCGTTTTCCAGTTCCAGCTGCTTCTGGCGATACTGCTCAGTTGCATATCGGCCCTGGCAGAAGCCCCTTTCCATATCAAACGGGAGATATCGGGCAAGAAAGTGGTCTCGCTCCTTCGGGGGAACTACGCGTTCTCGAAGTTTTAGTTCGACAGGCAGAATGGATGGATCACCGGAAGCTGGAACACAATATTTCGCATTCAACCTCAACTTCGGGATGATACTCGCTGCTGCTGGCATGATGCGGCTTTGTTTTCTCGGGGCTGGATACGATCCGATATCCGCAAGCTCACCGACCCGATCCTGGCACCTACCGCGGCACCCAAGTGGTCTCTTTAGCGAGTTTGACGACATCTTCGTGCGCCTGGTGGAGGCTGGCGCGGCCCCGAAGTCGGCCGAGCTCTCCTTCGTCTCGTGAAATGCAAGGGCTTTGCTGCGCTGGCGAAGGCATGCAGGCGATGAGTAAGGCGACCCATATGGTCAAAGCGGCATCACCAACTCCATCTTCGCGGTGCAGGAGGTGCGCCAGGCGCTAGAGGAGCTGCAGTTCTTCATGTCCAGGGTTGCGCCGTCGTCTGCAGTGTTTTGTTCTCTGGAGCTCGATCGGGAAGGACGCGCCTGATGGGGTGTTGCCATGGTGGTGCCGGCTTCCATCGCCGCAGCAGGTCCAGGCTGTCACGTCGGAGCTCGATGCGGGCCTCGTCTGGGCTCGCGCTGACCCGTGGGCGCGCATGTTGGTGGTCTTCGGTGACTTGAACTTCGCGTCCCACGATGCTCTGCATCTTGCGCGGCCAGAGCTTGTGCGGGGCACCAGGCCCGCAACAATGCGAGGACCCGCGTGAAGACCTGGGTGCAAGTGCGCAAGCAGATGCTCGAGATTGCTTCGGAAGGTCAGACTCATTATTGCAGCGGCTCCTGCGCGCTTGCACGCATCGATCGATTCTGGCCCTCTGAGCCGAATTGGATGGCTCGTCGACTACATCGCTCTACTCCCGAGGAGCTCTACGCGCAGGAGGTCTCATATCACGAGAGTATTCGTGTTCAAGTTCAGCATCGACAGCAAGATGGCGCCTATAGCAATCATTCCCTGCGCACTTTTATCAACGGCCTGAGTTTCAGCAGAAAGTGGAGTGTCTTCTGCAGCAGGAAGCAGCTTTCTTCGCGGCTTTATCGCCGCCGCGGCAGTTGGGGCGGTGTACAACTCTTCTCGACGCGGCTGCGTGCGATACTTTGCATCGAGTATTGGTTGCCGATGCCGACAGCCTGGGCGCCCAGTTGATCTTTGTGCGGCGTGCTGCACGGGCCATTTGGAGGCTGGGCGCGGCGATGGCAGTCAAGGTCCTGAACTCGTCGGAGGTGGCCCGCAGTAGCATGTCTGCGTCTGGTGCTGGGGTTGAGTTGGTCGACCATGTTGGCGGGCCAAGCCAGCGTCCGGGGCGATTTCTGCCGTGCAGCGGGTGGCGAGATAGTGGGTTCCGTCTGCAAAACGGCCCACGCATCGTGTTGTTCGTGTCGGTGACTCGTTCCGCACTGATCGAGGGGCGAAGCTGACGGCTCTTGCAGACTATTGGGCCCCCGTTTCGGCGCGGCCGCCAACGTTCCCCCTGCGCGCCAAGCTGTGCGCGCAGAAGTTTGTGGCGGCCTGCGACTGCTCGAGCATGGCGCCACCGTCGCGGCAAGTACTTGCTTGTGCCCTTCGAAGGCTGGCTCCGCCTCGGTCGGCGCCAAGCGTGGATGGTCTCCCATGTTCGGCGTGGGCCGCTTACAGTGAATGGGGCAGAGGTATTGTGGCGAGCGTGTGTCTGGATGATGGATGGCCAGAGGTTTTTCCCGGCGTCGGGTGGCACTTTGCAAGCTTTCCTGCCCGAGGGTTGTCAGGCGGTTGACGACGATGAACGTGGTTGTTCGGTCCCCAGATTCTGTTCGCGCGCTTGGACTGCGGAATGCCGATCTGGAGGTCATCTCGGCGACGCTCGACGCCTCCTTCCCCCAGCTGTGCGGCAGACGACGCCTATGGCACGGCACGGCTTCATCGCTGGCCGCCAGTTCACGTCCAACATCCTCGAGCAGCTCGATGTTATGGCAAGAGTGGCATTTATGGCGCCGCAGGCTGAGGCCACGCGCCCACTCTTGGTGGCGCTGAACTTCGGCCAGCCTTAGCCAGGAACACCTCTTTGCGATCCTTGAACAGTTGCGCCTACTTGGCGCTTTACTGGCGGCGTTTCGACCGCTCTACGCGATGCTCATTGCTGTCGGCCGCGTTGCGAGGCTCGCGCGGGACTTTTTTTCTTTCCCTCCATATTTTCTGTGGCATCATAGAAGGCTGCGCTCTCTCTGACAGCCTTCTCGCCACGTCGCCATTCCGTGAAGATCCCAGGCTCGGATTAGAAGCTGCGCAACCGGGGACTATCTCGAGCGTGCGCAGACGATGTTCGAGGCATTCTCGGAGATTGCGTCGATCTCCGCTTCCCTCGGCCGGTCATGGCAGTGGCCGAGGAACTTGCGAATCTGAAGCTCAAGCCACCGAAAAGAGGGATCGCCCCGCTTGCTAGTGCGCATTGGCCCACCTTGGTTGCTGCCGTCTTGGGCCATCTGGAGCTGCGCATTGCGGATGGGAAGGCATTCGAAATAGAGGCTACATTATTATACTTGGGCATGTGGCTTGGGCCTGGCGCCTCTGCGATGCTCTCCCTGGAAAGTACCTCGGGCCAAATGCCGCCCGGGGGTGGCGGCGCCTGCAGCATCTTCGGCGCCGGCTTCTCTGAACTCCACCGACAGCGTGGCGAGGGCGCCCCCGACGATGGTGTGTGTGTGTGTGATCAATTTCGGCCACTCCCTGCCCAGCTACAGCAGTTATATATATTCATGTCTTGGTGCGACTCCTTCGGTTTCCTGGAGGCGCTCCGCGGCGCGTCGACTTCTTTTGTCTCGGACAATGGGGTGGTCCAAGCTGCGCGAGCTCGCGCCCCGTGCAAGCCCGCTCATGTTCGGTCGTGGTTGCCCACTCATCTCGAGCATGCAGGATGTCCGCGTCGCCTTCGCACTGCGGCTGAGCGATGGGCCCCCGCGCAGGTGCCTCGCGGACATCGCGGGCAACTTGCCGCCGTACTTCTGGAAACTGCCCGCGCGTGTCGAGTTTTTGGCGCAGTCGACCAGTGCCGACTATTCCCCATGGTGCGACGGCAGCCAGTGCTCTTCTTCACGAGCGCCCTGCTGCTCGGTGATTGGTTCAGCGCGAAGCATACAGCGCCCTTCTGCGTGACGTGGTGGGCCCCTTGCTGACGGGCGTCTCCGACCGCGACTCCCCGCCGGTCGGGCTGGACCAAGTGGTTTCCGCACGGGAGGGCATTGAGCTTCGTGGGCTACCTCGGACCGCGCTGCAGCAGAAGCTCAGGTCGTTCCCCCTGGCGCGGGCTTTATCTACGTTGCGGGGGCTCTGCGGTGGCTCTTTGGGATGCGAGGGATGCGAAGATTATGTTGGTCACTACTGGGAGTGTCGCGGCCCGGCCCGGGGCGTGGCGATGGCCGAGTCGGGTGGCAGGCGCCTTCTTCTTGGTGGTGTTCTCGGCCGTTGGGGACTTCGAGGAGCACTCGACGACGGTCTCGCGCGCGCCCAGATGGCTGCCATAAGTTACCACGGCCTGCGTCATCTCGATTGAGTCGCTCCTGGTGCGCTGCTCCATGCTGCGCGTGGCGCTATGCGCGTGCGGGCGCTGGCCCACCCTGCCGCAGAGAGAGTTCGTGTTTCTAGGCGACCCATGCTCCCGCGTGTTTCGGTTCAGTCGGCTGCTTCCGAGGCATCGGCAGGTTCATGGGTTGACAGAAGTCCGCATCTCCTGGGCGAGCTACCTCTTGGGGATCATGTCCTGCATGATCTGTTCCCACATCGCGTGCGGTATCCAGTGGCAGGCGGCGAGCAGCACTTTGCCATCGAGGCCCCTGTTGGCACTTGTCAGGTCCTGCTTAAATGGCTGTGGATCCTCAGTGAACTGATCGAATCGTGGCCACGCCACTGGGCGGCGTCCCTGTTCCTTACGGCGTCATAGCGACTGGACCTCGAGGACTGGATGGTCTGGGGTACGGGCATGGTTGCTGACATCTTCTTGTGTCGAGCTTTCATGGGCCTCTCTTCGATTGAGGCGCGCGAGTGGCCCTCAGCTCCGCGATGGTTCACGTTGGATGGCGCAGCTCTGCAGTCAGTCGGCAACGGCTGCATCGGCATCTTTCGGGACCCTGGCCAGAGGGGGTACTCTGGCGCCGTCGTGCTCTTCGTGTCCGTGGTGAACAACACCTTGCCCTTTGGTATCGGGTGCGCTGTGAAGCCTCCGTTCTTCCTCATGTTCAGGAGCTTTTTCTTCCTGGGCGCCCAGGGGGCCAAGAGCTTCCTGCGGAACTCGCGTTCAACACAGATGCGGACCATTGGGCTATGATCTTGCGCAGTGAATCCTCAGCGCAGGACATCGAGAGGCTTGGTTGTGCGGACTGGGTTCGCGAGCGTGCTTCTCCGACGGGCTCGTGCTCGACACTTTCTTCTTCGTGGTCCACCTC